AAATATTATATAGTTTTTATAATCAATATAATGGTTTAAAAAGTTTGTTAAGGTTATCATATCACTAATTTATAATCAAGTGGGTATTTCTTTTTTATATTAAAGTGGTGTTTATTTATCGGTTCAATTATCAAAAATTATACACATACAGTTAGGGTTACCATTTAGGAATTTGAAAAGTCCTGACGGAAAACCTCATATTTCGATTAAAGTCCGGACATTTAGTCACAAAATGAAAACATTACCTACTCAGCTACAGTGGCATGGTTGGCATCAAAGCATAGACCCTCGCATTACGAAAAAAATACGGACAAATTAAAGAGCCGGACAAAGTCCGGACTAGAATCTTAAAATCCGGACATGTCAGGACTAATCCGGACGGATGTAAACCCAGCATGCAGTAGAACAGTAAAACACTGGCAAAAGAAAGCGTATTTTGAGATCGATTGAAGTATAGATTACGAATATCGAAATATTTTAACTGCCCGATGCTGTGTATCGCACCTTTGTTTGATGTACTATCAACTCGTAAAGTTATTTTTATATCGTTTAGGTATTTATGTTATCATCTTTATAAAAGTATTTGATTGTAGTATTAAAGAAATTATAATATAAAATAAACAGGATTCACGCACGGTAGGTATAAACAAACTTGTTCTTGATCTTGACATTCTCTTGGAAGTTTCATTAGACGATTACCTTGTCTGAGATTAATTGGGGTCTTGGAGAGTAGACGTAACAATAGTAAGTACGAGACTCTCGAACAAACAACTTTGAATTGAGATCCCTGGTCTTGTACAAATTACACGAACGAATGCGGTATCGTTCTAGAACGATACCGCATTCGTTCATCATCGTTCATCGTTCTAGAACGATACCGCATTAATATCCGTTCTCGAAAGGTATCCTCAAAGGTATTTGTTGTATTAATAATAATTTTAAATTACTTTACATTATAGTTTTTTCAAACAATACATATAACAAACATTATATTTCTTGTATCCGTGAGCATGTTATTGAAGCTCCTTTAAAATATCAGCATTTTATGATGCTTTTCATAGCATCGGACTTCGCAAAATATGGACTATATAATATTTACTCAATCCTTTATTAAATTTAAATAAAGTTTCGTGCATTAACCCGTTAGAACTAGTTTTATTTAATGAGTGATGTGCGTGAAAACCTAAGAAACAATTATCAGTCCTTTATCTTAAGGTGTTTCCACAGCGGAGGCTATTGTTTGTAGCATTAAGTAACACTCAAACATTCAGAAACAAAAGCTTAAATTCGAAAACCTCTGTGAAACATAATAGATACAATCCTTCATAAACATTTAATGAAGGTATAAAATACTGAATAAAATCTCGAGGCTCTCACAACGTAGATTCTACTAAGCGAAAGTAAAATTTTAAATTGTTCAATAGGATCACAACTTTTTGACATACCCAGTCCTTTGTTACTTTAACATAAACAAATAAATGGATGAACATAAAAATAACAATTGAGAACCTAATTCATTTGTGACTTTGTGTTTCAGCAGCTTTAACTGTGTCTTCTATAAAATTACTGATACTCCATTGATACACGATTATTATTTTAACACAGCAGAATCGACACAGAGAAGGAATACATTGGGGGACAATATAAAACTATTAATATCAGTCACTAACTTTAGTACCTCATTCACGCATTAAGATGCTAAACAACAGCTACTATCACATGGCTTTAAAAATATTTAATAAATTACCATCAAAAATACGGGATGAACAGGTTCCTTATATTTCACAAATAAAAATAAAAAATCGTTAACTGATGAATGCTTCTATTCTATTGAAGAATACTTTAATAAATTTAATTAATTTGTATTTTATTTTCATTTGTTTTTGTTTTGTTAAATTATGTTATAATGATGGTATCTCCCAAACCAAATTAAATATAATTCAATTTTATAATATCATAATAATGAATGTTTAATTATCTATTATTTAATTTTGTTATACCTGTACAAGGTGACTAAGTCATAAGATGCTATGTATCATGTTTAAGAACCGTATGTAACACTTAGTTTGCAAATAAGCAGAGAGCACTGTACAGCATTCGCTAAAATAATTATTAATAAATACTGAAAAACATTAAATAAATATAGGAAATAATAATAAACTTGGACTCAACTCTCTTTATTTACACGTTTAGGTATGTAACCTTGCAATTCCCAGTTTGCTTAACTTAAGAAACCACATGTTTCACTTTGTGTGTTGCTTCCATTTACGGTTTAATCAAATGTTCTTAACATGTCTAGAATTCGCGATAACCTTTCTAATTAAATCTATCAGATACTCAGCTGTGTGGTAATTGTTTGCAATTTCAAGCAGACACGATCTAATAGGTATACAAATACAATTAATTGAAAACATCCGGAAATTTTATAATTAAATTTATGTTTACGTCTCATCATAGTCGTTATGGCAAGTTTCAACGTGATTAAACATACTATCGTGCCTTTATATTGCAAATCTGTGATAATGTAAACAGACAATTATTAACAAAAATAAAAACAATAACCGACAACATAAAAACAAAACTACTATTATTTATTATTTTTTCGTGTTTTTGTTTTAATGATGTCGGTTTCTATTACACTTAAAGTAAAATTAACATTTGGTGTCGGTGGCATGCCAGCCCAAGCATTAAATGCTAACTTAGATTTTGAAAATCGACCCTAAACTGACGAAGAAATAGCATAACAAACATACAAAATAAACAACATAGTCTAAACGAAAACCACCTCCTTTTTTAAGTCGATTAAAAAGAAGTAAAATCTTGTCTTTAAAATTCAATTCAATTTTACTGCTTTGAGTTGAACTGAGGGCATCGTTATAGATTTATGGTTCATTTATTTCTGAACTCGTCACGTTGTAATATTTCCTTTAATTTTTGAGAAGAAAACAAGAAAGTTTCTAGAAGTAGGTCTGTTTATTTACTTCTGTACATGCATATTTAGAAAAGCCTATTTAGAAACTAATTTCCCCAATAAGCGAGTGTAATGTTGTCATGTCATATACCTTTAACGCACATAGCGTTTCTTCATTCCTTTGCATCATACATAACTCCTTAATGACTCGACAGATTTGGATGTATCTTCGATCTACAATTGATCGAAGGGGTGCATGGAGTATTGTTAGGATCCTTTTACTATCACGAGCGACATTGGCTTTGATTTTGTTATAAAAGAGACAGCCATTTTCAAAAGTAAATAAAAGTTTTTCTTTAATGAAAATTATAATATGAATATCAAATTATACATTTTACATAGATTATACCGTACATGCATTTTAACAAACATAAATAGGTAAATTAAAAACAACAACACGATAACACCATGCTTAAAGTATTCCGCAGAACGACTTTTCTATTCGAAATAAGTTTTTTCTTTGTTTTTTTTTATTACTTTGTGTAAAATTTTTGGTAGGTCAGTTGTGCCTTTTTATTGTTGAAACATTAGTGATATTAATAGGTAAGGTGTGTATGTAGGAATTAATGTTCTTTTAATAGACTAAGTCGTTTTACTTTGCTAATTTGGTTGAAAATTGTTTAATCGGTACTTCTTAATTTAAAAATAGTTCCTAGTTATACTTAACTTATTGTTGATTGAACACTGTATGAAACAAAATAAAGAGAAAAAAGTAGCCCATGCTGAATTTCTTGCCGGTTCTTCTCAGTACAAGGTCTCCCGCCGTAGATTTACGAACCGATGGCGTAGCGTTTGTCTTTCACAAGAACTTGTAACAGCCTAGACTGAATAAATACGAGTTTGAGTTAGGAACTTCTGGACTGATTTCGAAAATTCTTTCACCAGTAGAAATATTTGTTTCTTAGGTTTTCACGCTCATCAATCATTAAATAAAACTAGTTTTTACGGGTTAATGCACGAAACTTTATTTATTTATTGACGTTTCGTAGCCTTTATTCTGACGACGTAGCCTGTAAAGGCTACGAAACGTCAATAAATAAATAAAGTTTCGTGCATTAACCCGTAAAAACTAGTTTTATTTAGTAGAAATATTCATTATTTATAGGATATATTTTATAAGCTAGGGTGGGACTATACTCATTGCTAAAATTTTACTTTCTTTAGAGCTGACAGAAAGTGATCTGCCCTTATACAGACATCGGTTCGGCTCGAAGGGCCACATTTGGACATGAAGAGGGGCGTAACGGCTGAGGTGAATATGGAGAACCAAACAAAGGGAAACACCAAACAAGGGAAAAATCAGTACTATTTACTAAACGACGTGATATATTTGACGACCTTCGTGGCCGAGCTGTTTGTACGACGGGTTTAATGGTGTCGCCTACTCGAGAGATCTAACCAGTATCCCATAACACAAGCCTTACAGTGCTTACTTTGGGGTTAGGCTAATTGGTGTGACCCTGTGTCACTTTTGTTTCTGTACAGCTATATTATCAGATGATCCACTGCTTGGGCACATGTATTCCAAATCCCATCCATAAAATGATACAGTTTCAAAAAGTAACTCGTCTGTCAACGTGCTTTGTAGTTAAGCTTTTGTTTTTAAATATGAACTTAATCCAATCAAATATAAGTAAATGAGACATTGAGAGGTAGCTATCGGAGTGATATTTATTTATTATGCCTATTATCATTTGTGTCATTCACGCAGAGCACGCTTGCACGCACCATAAGTGTTCGAAGGCACGCTGTAATTTAGTTGTTTATCTCTGATACTGGTCCCTATAGATTTAGTGGGTTCTTAATGTGTATCAGTTAAAGGGCTTTAAGGACTCTGGGGTCCCATTCGCACGGGGCGGGGCGCGGCGGGGGGCGCGGCGGGGGGCGTGGCGGCACGCACGCTCCTCCCGCTGGTCGTGCGTTATAAGCTCGCGCTGCGCACGCGGCGGCGACAGCGTGACCCAGCCGGCGGACACATCGCACTGCGGTAACGCACGCGAACGTGTGACTTTCGCGATACGCGCACTGTATAGTGGCCGCCGCGCCGGCGCGACATAACGCTTTCCACAACAACCTTGGGAAAACCATTTGATTTTTTCATTCAGGTGAGTAAGTTTTTGTGTACAACACGCCCAAATACTGTTGTGTGTGATAAACAAAAAATATTTATCCTGCTTAGTGATATTTCAAAATTTAAGTGTGAAAACAGGAAAAATATTGATATATTAGATAAGATATGTACTTAGTTTAATAATCGTATACTACATACATTTCTTCGAAAACTTTAGTACAATACTTACATACTTTTCTTTAAGGGTGAGTTTCAATCAGTTGACACTATAATGAAATTAATTCTTGTTTTTTACAAGAAATTCCTAATGTTATTCAGATTGAAAATAAGTTTTTTTATATTGTTTCAATGTCATAATTAATAATTATCAACATATTGATGTCCCCACTGTTGGGGGCACGCACGGCAATGCCCCAGCCTCGGGTACATGCTTTCTCTATGGATAAATAATGTGCTTTGACCAGGGGCCTAAGGCCATAAGTGTCATGACCCGGGGCAGCAAAAGCCATATAAAGGTATTCGTAACTGAACTAGGTACCTACACATATATTTATTTAAAAAAAATAGAAAATGGCTACAATCAATGTGATAGAATAAATTCATATAGAGATAAACATGCGTCGTGTTGATATCCACAGGATCTTTATTTTTTAGTACTTATTTTATGAGGGGAGTGCACCTCTAAAGTAGCCCGGGACGCCAGATTTTAAAATACGCCCCTGGATATGACCACCCATCAGTCCCAGTGCATTTCCGATGTGATTATGTCGATTATTATTAGTATTTTCTATAGGCTGATGATGATTATTAAGTCGCAGAGCCCTTATCAAGGAGAATTAAACGAGCCTGAACTCAGCGGGGTTGCGTTATTTACTTAATTAAAAAATTCACATGGCCACCATCTGGAATCCGTTCTTCTATATTATGTAGTTGTTACTGGTTTAGAAAAACATATACAGTTCAATCAGATATCAGGAAATGGATGAAATTTAATTTGCAAGATTTAATTACCGACAGCAAGACCGAGATGTAGGATTTCTAACGATAATTATGCAAGTCTGTTCAGGCATTAGTAAGATAATCTCTAACTACATACATACTTGCATGAGCCCTGAGAACATTAACACTACACTCAAGGCAGTCGTGTTATAAAAGTGAAAATTTGGCATATTTAGGTGTTTGTTACTGAATCTAAATATTGATACAATAACTAACTTAAACTCGAGTTTGTATATTTATTTTCTATCCCAATAAATATGCTAATTTTGTTACTTCACCCTCTCTCTTTCCTTCCTTTGATATATCTGTTTCCTGCCATTGATATTATTATATTTTTCTTTAACACCCCTCCTTTTCTCCTCCATATTTATTTATCTTTCTATTATGGGTTGCCTGGAAGAGATTGCTGCCTAGCTATAAGGCCGCCTATATTGAGTACATTCTGTCTATCATGTTTTTATTTACTTGTGTGTCTTGTATGGTGTATTACAATAAAGATTATTATTATTATTATTTATTTTATCAATATGTTAATTAAAAAAAATAGAAAGATAAATAAATGCAATACAGTTAGTAGCAATAATGATGACGACAGGGTAAAGTAAACGAAATTCTATGTAGTCCGTCAGTTAGATTATAAAAAAACTATGGTAACTTATTTTTTCTTTTGACAGTCAACCAAAAATTACAGAGATTAAGCGCGTCAAAGTTTGGGAGCGCGGGCTCATGACGTCACTTCTATCTAAGTAAAGTTCAGTGTGACATTTCAAATCGATAGGGATATATTGATCTGAAATGTCACATGCCGTCACGTCTCAACGAAAGATTTTCACATATTCATAAAGAAAAAATTCGTGTCCAACAATTTTTAATAGACGAAGAAAAAAAAAAGGTCGATCATATAGTGTTTTAAAAAAACTTTAGAGAAATACAGTCCTTATTTTTATATATTTATGTAAACAATTTCGGTTCCCAACAAGTCGTTCAATACCCTATGCCGGTGTCGAGCCTATACAAGATTTTGAACGCCTTTGAGTATTTTTATGATGAGACGTGTTTTTTGACTTATACAAAGCTTGTGTTTGTTTCTTCATGCAACATTCTATGTACCAAAAGATGTCAAATATAAGTTATGACAAAATTCCTGTGGCCCCACAGGGTCCATAATGATCGTATTTATTAGGATTAAATGAGAAATAAACGAAAAAGTAAATTGATAACTGTTATGAACATACTAGTAACTACATAAAACATAAATACGTACGTGGCTTCATTTTATTTCCAAGATTCCAAAAGGAGTCGTTCCCATTTGTCCATAGAATAAAATGCAAGGAATGTTTTGGCATATGAAAAATAAATAAATACTGTATAATAGTAAATTCACTAATAAAAGTAAAATATTTTCAGTAGTTCTTGGTTATCACGACAAATAAGGGGAAGGCAGTACCTCTTTTGGAGTTATGTTGCCCTGGTACCTACCCACATGAGATTTAATACATTTCAGTTATTTTAAACAAGTAGAGACTCAATAATAATATGTGTATAGAAAACCCAAAACTAATATTCTTTAAAATGTTACTACGTAAAACAAAATTTAACTTTTTTCCTACTTGTTCTATTTAGAAGAACAGTCATTAGAATATATTTAAAGGAAAGGCCCAAAAAAAGGAAGTAGATATTTGGCCATTGACCAGCATCATTAATTATTTAAATACTTTAGACTTTCCTTTTGATCTGCATTATCTGCTTAATGCCTAAATGCTTTTTGTTATGTTCTAACGATGCATTTTTATAAGAAAAGTTTTACAATTATTATTATTAAGCCACAAATTCCATCCTTCCACATAATTTATTTTATTGTTCCTAAACGTTCCTTAAAACACAACTATTGTTAATGAATTTATTATATTTTCTGTTGCCCGGACAGAATACATCGTGAACTTCAAGTGGTTAATTTCTATTAGTAAACCAGAACGTTTTTTTTATCCGTTCAGTGTTACTTAGAACTAAACGGATACAATCTTAGAAGGAGATAATTTCCGACACAATTGTTATTTTTATGGAATATTTAAATGAAATGACTAAAGATAGGTACGTCATTTGACGGATGTAGAGTCCGCCTGATTAGTCCATAGGTTAATCTCGTAATTCATCAGGGATTCAGTTCGTTAAGGGATTCTAAAAAAAACAATCGCGAGCGGCCGCTGGTAATCTTATCTACTAATATTATAAATGTGACAGTTTGTGTGTTTTAAGTTTTTTACTCAATCAGGTAAAAACGGCTGAATGAATTTGGACCAAATTTGGCACGCATATAGTTTATTATCTGGATTGTTCCTGTTTAGACATAGGATACTTTTTTCCCGAAAAATTGGAGTTTCCTGAGGAATTCTCAAAAAACTAAAGTTAACGCGAAATTAACGAAGTCGCGGGCGGCTGCTAGTAATTTATATTAATTTTATTAATATTAAAAATAAAAATGAGCATCAAATAAAATGGTTGCCTGTAAAGTCGGTTTTACGGGCGAAGATTTTACGTGACAACGTCTTTTTCTCGGTAGAATATTTATTGATATGAATATAATTAAATTGCACAATAGGAACAAGGAATTGAATGAAAATAAGAATTGCACAAATTTTAAGTATAGAAATATATTTTGTTTACTAAAACATTGTACATGTAAACTTAAACTTAACACGAGAGACTCATCGTAACGTTACCGAGCGTTACACTTTTTCATAAGTGACTCCCAGCCGCAACCTAATTTAAGACGTTGTCACGTCAAAAAGTACCTAACTATTAGGTTTGCAATTGTATTTTTAGACCATTTAAATATGCCCCAAACAAAAATTCTAAATCAATGTTTCTGTCCGTTTACTGAGCCATAAGCTTCTTCTATTTAATACAATGAATCAAACATGATGCACTGACGTTAAATTATTGTAATTGAATTATTAAGAATTTTATAATTATTTTTAGGTAGGTATATCATATCAATTATCAGTAAGAAATATCTCAGATTAGTGGTAGAACGAACCGCAAGGAGGACGCATTTATATGCTGTCTGTTAGGATAACAAAATTCCAACTGTTTTATACCCTTAAAGCAAAACGACGACATGTGAGTTAACTTTTTGCTGGTTTCTAACCATAAAGTATTATTTATAACAGCTATCTATTTAATAGTTTTCCATTTGTGGAGAGCAATTTGATTGCTTGGGTAAATGAGACTGGACGCGGCGGTCGTAAATGCACAATTATATCCATTCTCGCCGGAATTTCTAAGAATATGCGCGCGAAACCAGCGCTTCGCATAGGTACTTACGACGCAAAGTTTTACAACTTTTCGTCCGACAAATTCATAACATAAATCTGACTACTATGTCGCACGATCAGTACAAAAAAATAAGAATCAAGTTTTGTGTAAACTTAAGACTACCTTCGTATTAAAAGCGCATTGCACCTTGCAATACAATTGAATTACTCGTCGCCCAGTAGGTATGTAGTGTGTGTGTGTACTCGTATTGTGCTAAACGTTTGGCGATAGGTATGTTTTGGTTCGAGCAACTTTGAAAGGTCATATTTTAAATTGGGGTCGAAATCGGTCATTGCACGATTGGCGAATGCCGACGTCGAACACTAACCGGGCATGCAAACCATCTCAAATAAATTGAACTATTATCATGATAGGTACGCAAACAGGTATCAGTTACACCGGTTTTGTGGTGAAGGCCGATTCTCGAAGAATTAGAATTCCAAATTCTGCGTTTAAATTGTACAACTCCGAAATTCACTGCCCGCTTTCATTCATGACAGAGAAACTACACTGGGCTTTGAGCTTACCTAAATATTTTAAATTTTGTATAAATAAAAATGTTTCATTTAGAGTTATTTTTCTCGAAAATTCCAACTAAGTAGTAATTAACAGTTGTCCCATGTGTTTTCCTTGTATTACTTACAATGTAATTCTGGCTGAAGCTAGTTTTAATATAATATAAGTGAACATGCCGTACAAAAGAATTGCCGTCACAAAAAT